TGTCTCTCAAGTACTTCAAATTGTGAGATGTACAACAGCCAAGAAAATCCCCATACATACTGGAGTGCGGAGCTGGTCCTTGAGCCAAGTGAGGTAGAAGGTCAAGTCAGAGCCATCCATAGGCTCACGGGACCAGCAGGCCAGCTTTGCAATGATGCGAGCAGTCATATTGATGATGAATGTGTCTGGACGCGTCAGGAGGTTGAGGAAGGGGCTCCACATACTTTCACGGTGTTTCCGGGCATACTCCTTAAAGATCTCCACTCTGGTCTTGTCCTCCTGGAAGAACAAGGAAGACACAAAGCTAGAGGTGCAGCTAAAGAATGAGCAGGATTTTGCAAAACTTCTACCTGCAGGTTTAATACAAAACGATTTCTGATCAAATATTAACACTGAATCCAATATGGCTTCTGACTGAGATTCTGCATTACCTTTATCGTCAAGATGCAAAAGAATATTAACTGATACATTAATATGACACATCCCATTACCATGTGCCAATAACAATCATGAAAAAGTACACGACTATTTCCTAATCCCAAGAGTAAGAACCCACTCCTCCAAAACTTACTGAGAGGATGTCATCGACAAGGGTAAGGATGTACTGGATGGTCTGGTCCTTGCTGATATGTCCCAAGAGGTTCATGAAAGTGCGGGCCACCTGATACCTGTGGCTCGTCAGCAGCTTATCCCGCATCTGGCCTGGCTGCTCCACTCCCACTATCACATCATAGTCCTCTTGGGAGATCATCTGCGACCTGAAAATTTGAGAAAACATTGAAATTTTCTGAAAAGGTTATAAGAAAAAAATTATAATCATTAATATCATAAAACATTATATGGTGGACAAAAAATATGAAGTAAAATAAAGGGAAGGTGATAGGTGAAGAAAGTGAAAAAAATTGGGCGGGTGGTAAAGCATCAGAGCTTGAGTGATAATGTGGAAAAAGGAGAGAAGAATAGAATGAGGAAGAGAGAGAGAGAGAGAAAGAAAGAAAGAAAGAAAGAAAGAAAGAAAGAAAGAAAGAGAGAGAGAGAGAGAGAGAGAGAGAGAGAGAGAGAGAGAGAGAGAGAAAGAGAG